TGTAGGAACAGAGGGCCGGGGGGCATGGACCCCCGCTTTTCAAGGTTGGGGGGGGGGCAGCGATTAACCGCCCTACCCCACTTTTCAGATTAAGGCTGTGTTTAGCTTACGTTTGCATTACATTAAACATACATGCCGATTTACCTAGTTCACTAGCCATCTTCCACAAGATGCGTTGTCTTTTTCGTTCGCTCATTGGCCATCGCTTAATGTCACAGCCGCGAAACCGGTGCCGCACGGCCTATGGAGACTGCAACGCCGGGCGTCGAGACCGTTGTTGCCATGGCTTGCGAACACACACGTTCAAAACCAGATCACATGGTTTTTTCGATAATCAGTTCTGACTGAATCTTATAACTTTTTAAGGCGAACATAGATTAACTATGTTAAAACAATTTTGGGACCCCATTTCATCCACAATCTACGATCAGGGGTCCTCAGTATCTCTGAAGAACACATAGAAACATGGAGCTGGAGTCTTTGTGACAATTTTTGAACCACCTGCAGCGATCACGGATAAGGTTGTGTCATGATGATGTGAGGGTTCGGTGCTGCTCTGGGGCCAACTGCGCGAGTCAGAAGGCCTCCCGTGTCAGGGAAGGGTACAATGTGATCTGATGTATCCTTCTTGAGGTGTCCAGATCAACCAGGAGATCCCGCCCCGTGTCACCAGAATAACAGCCAGAAGACACTTCGCGATGGGACGGAATGGCCCTTCAACCCTTGGCCGGAAACGGTCATGTGCCGCTGATGTTAACTCAGGGGGCTCCTTGCACGAAAGAAAGCAAGGAGTTGCAAATTTTTATAATAGAATGGGGTCTCATTAGTGAAAAAATTACACCAAAAGGTTTGAACATGCCCCCGCAATCTCGAGAGAAAGGACAACAATGGCCAGAGTTACATCTTCCGTCAAACCGAACGGCGTGGGCCACTGCGAGCGTCACCAGACGACGGACGCCGTGTCAATCTGTCTTCTGGACAGATAGATAGCTACAGAAACACGAAAAATAGAGATTCTACCCCTCTCTTCAGTTTTACCACCAGATTCCAGCACCACTTCGTGCTGCTTTTAAGGGCCAATCCGTTCTTATCATCAGTCTAAAATCGGCACGTGAAATATATGCCCAGCCTGACTTCTGAATGTGAGGTTTGATGTCCTGAAACGTTCGAAGGCACTTCTTTCACTTTCGTGCAGTCGTTGGCCGCGACTCAGTAATCGCTGCTGGGCCAAAGTGGCACGGCTTCGGGTGACTGCAACGCCTGGCGTCAAGGTTTTTGTTACTAAGACTTGCGAGTGCGCATGCTCAAAACTACGTCGCATGACTTGTATACACTAATTGCTTAAGTGTTTTAAATGGTAATTTTTCAGAAGCGTCATCAGTTTCGTCCACCGGTGGGCTACGGCTAAAGTTAGCCACTGGGCTAGACTGAATGTTGACCACTTTCAGACAAACATGGATGGGGCAGTGTTAAGGCACATTGCTGGCTACTTCATGTACAATCAAATTTTCATCTTCAAATTTCGGTTAAAGACATCCATCGACGGTCTACCTTGCATGTCTTTAATGTCTGTAGAGCCCCAGACACAAATTCTGACTAAGCTTCTGAATTTTACCGCTTTAAAAAGAGTCCACTGAACCATTATGAGTAAGGGCGCTGGTGGATTATTCCATGCGGGTCGTTCACGCCTGCTTTTTGGCAGTTTATTGACTTCAAAATACAAACAAAACTGATCTCACGGTAGCTCTTGGTTTCTGTTCTGGTTACAAGATGGAAATGACAATAGGACAAAGAAAACCGTGTCTCTTGCTAACAAGTAAGCTGTGTCGGTGATTTTTTCTTGGGGGGGGGGGGGATCATAATAAAAGGCGCTATTGTCATCCCCGGGGTTCCCCCTTGGCGAGGCTCTATCAAGTCGGCTACGTTGAATGATGGGACATTGAATGTCCGTTGGACCGATTCATACCCAAGGCAGGCAGCTTCCCGGGTTTTTTTTTTCTGCGATGGTGTGGCGTAAAGGAAGATAATTCGGGATACTGTTGCAGGGTGTCCAACATATGTTTTATACACCACTTAGTAGTAAAGCTGATTCAGAAAATATGCACAAAGCAGCCATACGATCAATTCGCAGTCAGCCATGCGGGAGACAGCTAGGCCAGGGTAGTGGCCACCGACGGCGGATGTTAGCAGGGCCCAGATAAGGGATATATGACAAAACGGCCTTCATTCTGCGCCTTGGTTTTTAAAGGAAAATCTCCAGTTTTATGGCTTTATCACATTTTTTTCGGCAGTTTCGAGTTCCCAAATTTGTTTTTGGCCTAAAACGCTTGGGGCGGGTCTTATCTCTCGAAAAGCAGCTAGAATAATGAAGGCGCATGGCAAATCTGTCACATTGTTGCCATAGATTCACTTTCAAAATTCTCACCAGCCTATGCCCGGGCCATATTTTGGCATCTACCCTGTGGAGGCAGATGCCTCTCAATGACCCAAAATGCCTACCCGTTCGTGGAATTTTGCCTCCCCAGGAAATATGATGTTGAAATGGACGAATAATCTTGGGAAGCTTTACTTGCCGATTGACATAGATGATTCGAAAAGGCAAGATTGTGAACTAGCGAGAAAGAGCTCTAGATCCATATCTACCATAGCAGCCATGACATTTGAATAAAGAGCGATAACAACCTCCATCTGTCCCCCCTTCCTTCCCCCCGGTCATCGGGCTTGCTTTCCAGGAAAAGTTCCTGAAGTACGCACTGAGCTTGGCCCCTGCACTTTTTGAAACGTCCCTACGCCTATGTTTTGAGGACCATTCCTATTTTTATTCTTTGC